CCTGAGAGGCCTCTTGGCTTTTCTGGAAGGGCAAGCAGCCAATTATAGACAATGAAGAGCTCAAGGTGGGATGGGGTCGCGGGGAGCAGTGAGGATCAGGAAGTGTGGTGTTACACTGAAGTCCCTTGGCGGGATAAAAGCCTAATAAGTTCCCCAATGACTAGAGGCTCAAGTCCACCCAGAAATGTCTCCAAAAAAAAAAATTAAATAATTGACTTCTAAAAAATCAGCCACTGAAACCCTATGGAGCAGTGTTCTATTCTGACTCACGTAGGAGCCAGCGTGAGTCAGCACTGACTGGGCAACAGCTGGGGAGACGGCTGGGTGTATCCCACTATTCCACCTTTAGATGCGTTCAGCCACTTCTTCCCAGAAGTGTGCTTTGCATATTCCTTTGTTTCCTTCAGCTGCAAATCCATGTTCTGGTACCCCATTACTGTCTGAGCCCAGGCTTCCTCCTCCCCAGAAAGCGAGCAGTGATATTCTCGTGTTATTCCTCCATGCATTTCTCAGCACTATTCCAGTGGGGTCCAGAGTTCATACTTAGCACGCCCCCCCTCCCCATCCCTAGTCTCTTGTGAGTTGCATGCCTTTTGGGCACTGGAAACTCCAAGAGCTTGATGGGATTTTAGGCAGGATAATCTTAGAATGTGGATCAAAGAGCTTTCAGGCAATACTTGGGATTGCCTGATGAAATATAGAACCCTAAATCAAATTTAAATCTCAGAGAATACAACAAATAACATTTTTGTAAAGTAGCATCCCAAATATTGCACGCTTTTCCAGCTGTTACATCAGGCAACCTTGAATCTGTGAGGGATGGGGCTGAGCTTCCTGTCACTGTTGGGACAAACTTGGCCTGGGGACAGGGAGCACAAGAAGGAGGCAAAGAAAGTGCAACAACTGTTTAGAAGAAACCTCCCCCAGGAGACGTCCCTCGGTTTACTGTGGTTCTTTGGGTAAAATGTGCGGGTTGCAGGCTCACCTGCACCCGTGCGTCCTTGTGTTTTGTCTAACACAAGGGCTAGGGTAATTTGAGAGAATGTTTGACAGTAACACTAATCAGAGATACTGTAAAATCAATCCTGAGCAAATAAGAACTGTAAAAGTGTGCTCCCGAGCGCTGTATTTGTGTCAACAGCCTGCTGTCTCTGCACAACAGTCACACAGCTCCATCACAATTTTGATTCTCCCGTCAGAGAACCATACAATGTTAGCAAAGGGCTTCAGCTTCTACACGGACGGATTTAAGTCCTGGAGGTTCAGAGAGAGGAAGGGTCCCACCCACTGCCCGTTAATATTAACAGCAGGCCACCGTTTATGGATGGTTTACTAAGTACCAGGCATTCTTCAAGGTACAATGAATTCTCACAACAACCCCAGAATCATCCTCATGATCCATAAGCAGTAAACTGAGAAGTTATAGAATTCATTCCAAGTCTCAGATTATAAAGCTAATAAGTCCTTCAACAACAACAACAACAACAACAACAACACAATCAGCTTGTGTTTTTCACAAAACACAACTTTCTCAGTTCCCTCAGCCATGACCCCCTGTGGTCTCTCAGATACCAAATCAAACCCTCGCTCCGTGAGTCAATTCTAATGCCTAAGAATGTTACGGAACAGACTAGAACTCTGCTTCAGGTTTCTGAGGCTGTGCATCTTGGCCAGAGGACAAAGCCCAGCTTTCGCTCAAGGAGGGATGGTGGGTTTGAGCTGTGACCGTACTCAATCTGGCCACCAGAGCTGACTTCTCAGCATTAAACATGTGCACACACATCCGTGGTTTGTCCTCTGACACAGGATTTTGTATGTAAGGACAAGATCTTTCGAATCTAGCTGACAGGAAGTTGATGGAACACCATGGCTATCCATGACAATTTTAGACATCAAGTGATTCTCTGCTCACCTATGCACAAGGCCTCCTATCGGTCTCTATTGCTCTAATCAGAGAATAAGGTAGTTTTGTGAAACATCTTTAACATGATTACTCATGGCCCCCAAGTCAATGCTGACTCAGAGCAATGCCCCCCCTCCCCCCACGGGTTTCTGAGTCTGTAACTGTTCACAGGAGTAGAAGGCCCAGTCTTCCTCCTGGGGAGTTGCTGGTAGCTTCAAAAGGTGGACCATGTGGATCACAGCTTGATGTCTGACCACTATGCCACCCAAAATCAAACCCACTGCCGATTCCAAGTCATAGTCGATTCCAGCTCGTAGTCACGCTGTAGGAGAGGACGGAAGCGCCTCTGTGGGTTTCTGAGACGATAACTTCTTCTGGGAAGAGAAAGCCTCAACTGTCTCCCAAGGAGCAGCTGGTGGTTTCAAACTGGGTATCTTGTGGTTAGAAGCCCAGCATGTAACCACTGTGCCACCAGGACTCCTTTGTGTAATCAGTCACACTAAAGCTATTCTGCAAGAAGACTCTAGCAGTGAAGTAGAGACTGTGGATTCGTGTGCTGAGCGGCGGATAAAGAAAACGGAAAGGAAAGAGAGGGAGGAGTAAAACCAAGGGGAGGCCTTCCTTTTCCTTGTCAGCCACAAGGAAGGGCCCAGGTGTCGTAGCATGCTGACAGCTACACGAATACGTATTCCCGAATGGATGGTGGCTGTCTCACACACAAAACCCACTCTCCACATCGCAAAGCCCCGAAAACGAAATACCACCACCAGCTCCCCTCCGAAATAAAAAATGTTCCCCACCATTATATTCCCTTAGCTTTACATTGGACATGATATTCATTTTCTCCTAGCTTTCCGGGAATTTCCAATCCCTGAGTCTCAGACGACCAAACCACTGTGTCAGACCCCAGACTCCAGGTTCCCTGTTTATCAAAGCCGGAGGATTAAGCAGGCCTACTTTTGCATCAGACTTTTCTGAAGTTATCCTTCCTGTTGACAAAAGTTTATCTAAGATGAAAAGAAACAAACAAACAAAGGGATACAATGAGCCAAAAACTGTAAGAAGCTCCAGAGTCAGGGCGTGCCACTCTAGCTGGCAGACACCAGGACGCCCCCTGCACTAAGGCACTGAGCTGGGCATGGGGAACAGGGCAAGGGGTGTTTGTCTCTCGGTCAACGGCACTTCACTTGAGAGAATAATGGGTTTGCTGAGCCTGTTCTTCAGTCTATTCTCAACAGCCTCATAACATCTCCGGAGAAACAAACCTGCCCCATTTGTCCCAAATGAACAAACTCACCATGGTGCGATCTAAAGAAATGCGAACCACCATCAACGTCCTCTCTTCTTCAGAAAGGTGGCAGTATTGCCCTGCATTCTGACCAAATTACAAAGCAGTGAAGATACCTCCAGCTCGGGGTTCTCAATCTGTGGGTTGAGACGCCTTTGGGGGTCGCCCGATTCATAACAGTAGCAAAATTACAGTTATAAAGTAGCAACGAAAATACTTTTATGGTTGGCGGAGTGGGGGCTGTCACCACCACATGAGGAACTGTATTAAAAGGTCAAGGCATTAGGAAGGTTGAGAACCACTGCTCTAGCTGATTCACAGACTAACCACCTCACCTCACCAAGGACCAGGAATGGCTCATTCCACTACTTAACTCGGTGATTAGCAGATTCCACCGAACTTCAGGGCCCCACAGCACACACAGGATCACAGCTGTCCAGGTGCGTGACTTTTCCTTGCTTCAACATCGAGAAAAATCTGTACCCCACTTCCATCACCTTCCCATCCCTACCCCCACCAAAGCATTTGTAAGTGGGAGCATTAGAGGGGGTCTCAGAGGACGGTTACTTCCCAGAATCCCTTCATCTCACTTCTTGAGCCATCCCGAGCGAAACACAGAGTGGTACCACCTGCAGGAGCCAGGCTACGCTGTCATTATTCTTTCTTCAATGAGATGGATTGGCACAGCCACAGCTGGCTCACACATATCAATCAATGATCATGAAGAGGGTGCAGGACGGGGCGACGTTTTTCCTACTGTACATCAGGTCACTATGAGTCGGGGTCAACTCAATAGAGACACACACACACACACATACACACACAGGATTAGAGCTCAGAAATCAAAGCCAGCAATCTTCGAACACCTGTTACGTGGACTAGTCCCATCAGAGCCCTCATAAAAGCAGCCCATCTTACAAGTAGGAGTTTTATCATTACTGTACTGAATGGCCTTTGGCCACTACTATACACAGGGCTTCTGAGAAAATGATCCCACCAATGCAAGGGTCCCTTTGTTTATAGGTGGGGGAGATCCGCACTCTACTGGTTCAGAAACACGGTTCTACAAACCGTCCAGCGAGAGGCCCGTGCTCCCTCTTTGTGCTCCACTCACCTCAGACCCGGTCCTTAAGGAGGAGTTTCTCTGTGTGCCACTAACAGTCATTTTGGAGGGAATTCTCATTTATAAATTTTGGATGGTTTGGGAGAACATTTTGTGGCACTGGACTTTTTTTTCCCCCCTCACAGTGATGTCATTTTAAATACTTGGTATGTTCCAAATTTTCTATTTTTACTTCCCCCAAGTGACTTTTTTTTTGGTAGGGGAATACATTTGTTTGGATTAGCTACATTTTAAGTGGCCTGTGGACCTCATACTCAGCATCGGGTTCGTCTTCTTGGCGATTAACGTTATTAAGCAGCTCACACTTGGAAGTGTCTTATTTGTTCATATTCAAAGTAATTTCTTTTAAAAGTACCCCTCCAAAACCTCTGTTCCCAGATGACTGAGGTAAGGGGGGGAGGTGAGGGAGGGGAAAAAAGAGGTGGGGGGCGATTGACTCTTCAGACACCAAAAGCACACTCAACAACTCCCAAAGCATCGCACAAACGGAAGACACGGACTTCCCCCTCCCCAAAGTCCAATACAACTGCTCACTTCCAAAATGCGCTTCGGGGGCGGGGGAGAGGGACGGGGCGACGTTGAAGTGGCCGCGGCAAACGTGTCAGCTTGTACAGGGAAAGCCGGCTGAGCCGCGAACTGCGGAACAGGACAGTTGAGAAAGGGCACGCTAAGTGCCAGAGCCCTACCTGATCTGAACTTGCTCCTAATCAGCAAGGAATGCTCCGAGCCCAGGAGCGTCATGTTGAGGTTCAGGACGTCGCTGGTCCCCTGGCCAGAGGGCCCCTGATCGCCACCAGAAAAGGGCTCCCGGGAGCCCCTCGCGCGCGGGCTAAGGATTCAGAAGGCATCCACCGCCCCGTGCGCTCCCCTGGGCAGGAGTGCGGGGTGGCAGCCGG